TTGTAAAAGGATCTCGGTTTTCTCAAATTACCGAACTGTAAACTCTTTACCACATAACACGTAAAAGCCCTTCACGGCTCTTCACCTCGGTTCACCTCGGACCGGGGCCATCGCTGATGCAATTTTACATGCGTTACGTTCAAATCTTTCCAAATTACTTCCTTAATCATAGATTATATCGTTGTTAACAATCACATAACAACATATGTCAATATATGAAGGCCTATAGGGTCACACAATATGCAATCTATTTTCCGGCTAAGAGTGAATCGAGAGTGTTAAATATTCAATTAGATTGGAATATTTAATTTTAGTAATGAGATTATTTTCTATTAGATAGAAAATATATAATTAAGTTTAAATTGGACTTAGACTTAATTAAATCATTAATTGGATTAGGTCCAATTACCTATTGGGCTATAGGTTGTCCTAAAGCCCACATAATTAGGTTTAACCTAATTATAAATAGGTGGGTATCTCTTTATCAGTTAAGAGAGATCAGATAATTGAGATACGCCGCAAAACATAAACTCTCCTTCTTGCTTTCTGACTGAGGATTCCTAGCATCTTCACCAGAAAGGATTCACTGTGTTGGATCGTGCACCGGGATCTGGATTGCGTGGATACCATAGTTGAAGACAAAGCTTAAACTGTAAGTTCTCGCGATCTAGGATCAAAATCGAATAGCTATAACCGGATCTTCTTGTTGGTAAGAAAATTTCAAAAATTCCGCTGCGTGTGCGATTGATTCGTACGACAAAAATCCAACAGGTTCCTCACTCGCTAATCAAATTAATGGAAGGCGAAAACCCTTAGAAAACTCCAATAAGGGTCCAAATGGAGGTTAGGCCAATCCAATCCCACGGGCTTTCCTCTCCATTTCGGCAAGAACATTCGGATACATCAGAAATATAGCACAATAAACATGAGTTTTGATTTTACGAATCACAAGGCTCTTAGTTTGAGTTTCATTTTCGAAAACTAACCTATTACAGGCATCCAAATGAAGTAGACGGTAGCCGCAAGTGCCGCTTTCTTCAACTTAGCTTGCCAACTTGCCCATCGAGCCTCCCTCTTGATTCATTTTAGAGCGAAATCACCGTTTAGATGCGAAATCACCGTCGCATCCAAATTGTGCATGTGATACTTCCATGTTGTATTCGTCCAATTTCAACCAATTACTATTATCTTTTTCCTAGTACAACTTAGACTTGATTAAAATCAAACTAGAAGCTCGACAAATGAATTGAACATTTCTTTCCCTTCTAAAAGTAGCATTGAACCGAACCACAACATCAACTTAAAATGAAGATTACGTAAATATGGCACCAAGATTAGTTTAAATGTGTAGTTAAAATTGAGTCACACGTTACATTTCGGAATATAGGAATAACCCGAACATGGATTAGAATTAAATCAAATAAATTATCAACATCCCGTCAAATACGAACTATGCCGATCGATCTCTGGCTAGTAGGAAGCACCATTGGTTCCTGGGCTCGGGGCCGACGGTGGAGGAAGTGGCTTTTTGCCGACGGGAACGATTTCACCGCCAGACGGGATGACCACCGGCAACTTTTCTGATGCCCCGCCACTTACCTTCCCACCCAACTTTTCCGACGCCCCGTATGCCTTCCCACCAGAAGACGGGATGACTATCGGCATCTTTTCCGATGCCCCGCTTGCCTTCCCACCAAAAGACGGGATGACTATCGGCATCTTTTCCGATGCCCCGCTTGCCTTCCCATCCAACTT